CTTCACCATCATGCAGCCAGCTCAGGGTGGGCTTTGGGTTCCCTGGGGACCAGAGGAGAACCAGGTGAGAGGAACCACAAGAACCTCGGGCCTGGTTTTAATGCTCCAGATAAATAGAGTCCCCAAACATGAGACCATGTGTCTCACCAGCGACGCTGAAGGGGATGCACCAGTGGTGGTCCGGGATGGCGTCGCTCAGTTTGGTGATTCTTGGGGCAACTGAGGAGAAAAGGAGACCATTAGCATTGTTAGCATCCTTAGCATTATTAGTATAGTTAGCAAAATGTTTAGCAATGCTATCCTTATTACTATCGTAAACAAATTAGTACCATTAAAGTGATTGTCTGGAGTTTTTCAGAAAGAGAGACCGAGAGGTGCTTGATTTGAAAAAAACCACCCAAGCTCCTCCCCCTTCCTTTCTGATTGGTCTACGCTTACGTTTCTGTAACACTTTTAAATGTTAATGAGAGAACACATTATACATATACATTATTAACACAGATGCACCGAGGTTTTCAGAATGATTTGTTAACGTTTTCATGATAAAAATTATTTTTTTATGCACAAATAAAGCGATCGCGGCAAACCAGGAAAAGGCTATTATCATTATAGGACACATCTGCAGAGGATCTGATTATGGATATAGATTCATATATAAATGATTATGGATATAGATTCATATATAAATGATTATGGATATAGATTCATATATAAATGATTATGGATATAGGTTCATATATAAATGATTATGGATATAGGTTCATATATAAATGATTATGGATATAGGATCATATATAAATGATTATGGATATAGATTCATATATAAATGATTATGGATATAGATTCATATATAAATGATTATGGATATAGGTTCATATATAAATGATTATGGATATAGGTTCATATATAAATGATTATGGATATAGGTTCATATATAAATGATTATGGATATAGGATCATATATAAATGATTATGGATATAGGTTCATATATAAATGATTATGGATATAGATTCATATATAAATGATTATGGATATAGATTCATATATAAATGATTATGGATATAGATTCATATATAAATGATTATGGATATAGGTTCATATATAAATGATTATGGATATAGGTTCATATATAAATGATTATGGATATAGTTCATATATAAATGATTATGGATATAGGTTCATATATAAATGATTATGGATATAGGTTCATATATAAATGATTATGGATATAGGTTCATATATAAATGATTATGGATATAGATTCATATATAAATGATTATGGATATAGGTTCATATATAAATGATTATGGATATAGGTTCATATATAAATGATTATGGATATAGTTCATATATAAATGATATGGATATAGGTTCATATATAAATGATTATGGATATAGGTTCATATATAAATGATTATGGATATAGGTTCATATATAAATGATTATGATATGGATATAGGTTCATATATAAATGATTATGGATATAGATTCATATATAAATGATTATGGATATAGGTAATTATATATATAAATGGATATAGGTTCATATATAAATGATTATGGATATAGGTTCATATATAAATGATTATGGATATAGGTTCATATATAAATGATTATGGATATAGGTTCATATATAAATGATTATGGATATAGTTCATATATAAATGATTATGGATATAGGTCATATAATTCATATATAAATGATTATGGATATAGGTTCATATATAAATGATTATGGATATAGGTTCATATATAAATGATTATGGATATAGGTTCATATATAAATGATTATGGATATAGATTCATATATAAATGATTATGGATATAGGTTCATATATAAATGATTATGGATATAGGTTCATATATAAATGATTATGGATATAGGTTCATATATAAATGATTATGGATATAGGTTCATATATAAATGATTATGGATAGATCATATATAATGATTATGGTATAGATTCATATATAAATGATTATGGATATAGGTTCATATATAAATGATTATGGATATAGATTCATATATAAATGATTATGGATATAGGTTCATATATAAATGATTATGGATATAGATTCATATATAAATGATTATGGATATAGGTTCATATATAAATGATTATGGATATAGATTCATATATAAATGATTATGGATATAGATTCATATATAAATGATTATGGATATAGGTTCATATATAAATGATTATGGATATAGGTTTATATATAAATGATTATGGATATAGGTTCAGTATATAAATGATTATGGATATAGATTCATATATAAATGATTATGGATATAGATTCATATATAAATGATTATGGATATAGATTCATATATAAATGATTATGGATATAGATTCATATATAAATGATTATGGATATAGATTCATATATAAATGATTATGGATATAGATTCATATATCAATCAACTTTATTTGTATGGCGCCTTTCCAACACAAGGCCACTCAAAGCGCCTCACAACCCACATAATATCACACAAATCAGAGACATCAATAAATACATTAAAAACAGAATAAAATCACAAGTAATGAAAAAAAAAAAAAAAAAAAAAAACTTAAAATATTAAAAGCACACACGGGATTAAAATAATAAATAACCACAATGCATTAAAAAAAAGAGTATGTATCAATAAAATCCTTCAGCCGTATGCACAGCTAAAAAGAACAGTTTTTAGCCCTGATTTAAAAATTGCCAGAGTAGATGCTAGCCTCACATCTTCAGGAAGATTGTTCCAGATTTTAGCTCCATAAATCTCAAACGCTGCCTCCCCATGTTTAGTTCTGACTCTTGGAACCAGTAAGAGGCTACCTCCTGTGCTCCTCAGAGTCCGGGCCGGTTCATATGGGACTAACAAGTCGCTTAAGTACCCTGGTGCGAGGCCATGGAGAGACTTGTACACAAGCAGTGCTGCTTTGAAGTCTATTCTCTCGTTGTATATATAAATGATTATGGATATAGGATCAGTATATAAATGATTATGGATATAGGTTCATATATAAATGATTATGGATATAGATTCAGTATATAAATGATTATGGATATAGGTTCATATATAAATGATTATGGATATAGATTCAGTATATAAATGATTATGGATATAGGTTCATATATAAATGATTATGGATATAGGTTCAGTATATAAATGATTATGGATATAGGTTCATATATAAATGATTATGGATATAGGTTCATATATAAATGATTATGGATATAGGTTCATATATATAAATGATTATGGATATAGGTTCAGTATATAAATGATTATGGATATAGGTTCATATATAAATGATTATGGATATAGGTTCATATATAAATGATTATGGATATAGGTTCATATATAAATGATTATGGATATAGGTTCATATATAAATGATTATGGATATAGATTCATATATAAATGATTATGGATATAGGTTCATATATAAATGATTATGGATATAGGTTCATATATAAATGATTATGGACATAGGTTCATATATAAATGATTATGGATATAGGTTCAGTATATAAATGATTATAGATATAGGTTCATATATAAATGATTATGGATATAGATTCATATATAAATGATTATGGATATAGGTTCATATATAAATGATTATGGATATAGGATCATATATAAATGATTATGGATATAGGTTCATATATAAATGATTATGGATATAGGATCATATATAAATGATTATGGATATAGGTTCATATATAAATGATTATGGATATAGATTCATTTATAAATGATTATGGATATAGATTCATTTATAAATGATTATGGATATAGGTTCATATATAAATGATTATGGATATAGATTCATATATAAATGATTATGGATATAGATTCATATATAATATGATGATTATGGATATAGGTTCATATATAAATGATTATGGATATAGGTTCATATATAAATGATTATGGATATAGGTTCATATATAAATGATTATGGATATAGGTTCATATATAAATGATTATGGATATAGGATCATATATAAATGATTATGGATATAGGTTCATATATAAATGATTATGGATATAGATTCATTTATAAATGATTATGGATATAGATTCATTTATAAATGATTATGGATATAGGTTCATATATAAATGATTATGGATATAGATTCATATATAAATGATTAGGATATAGGTTCATATATAAATGATTATGGATATAGGTTCATATATAAATGATTATGGATATAGGTTCAGTATATAAATGATTATGGATATAGATTCATATATAAATGATTATGGATATAGATTCATATATAAATGATTATGGATATAGGTTCATATATAAATGATATGGATATAGGTTCATATATAAATGATTATGGATATAGGTTCATATATAAATGATTATGGATATAGGATCATATATAAATGATTATGGATATAGGTTCATATATAAATGATTATGGATATAGGTTCATATATAAATGATTATGGATATAGGTTCATATATAAATGATTATGGATATAGGTTCAGTATATAAATGATTATGGATATAGGTTCATATATAAATGATTATGGATATAGGTTCATATATATAAATGATTATGGATATATGTTCAGTATATAAATGATTATGGATATAGGTTCATATATAAATGATTATGGATATATGGTTCATATATAAATGATTATGGATATAGGTTCATATATAAATGATTATGGATATAGGTTCATATATAAATGATTATGGATATAGGTTCAGTATATAAATGATTATGGATATAGGCTCAGTATATAAATGATTATGGATATATGTTCAATATATAAATGATTATGGATATAGGTTCATATATAAATGATTATGGATATAGGTTCAGTATATAAATGATTATGGATATAGGTTCATATATAAATGATTATGGATATATGTTCAGTATATAAATGATTATGGATATAGGTTCAGTATATAAATGATTATGGATATATGTTCATATATAAATGATTATGGATATAGGTTCATATATAAATGATTATGGATATAGGTTCATATATAAATGATTATGGATATAGGTTCATATATAAATGATTATGGATATAGGTTCAGTATATAAATGATTATGGATATAGTAAGTAAGTAAGTAATCTTTATTTATATACCGCCTTTCACAGACCAGAGTCACAAAGCGGTTTACAATTGTTATTAATTTTGGGCATTTGTCTCTCACTCCACACAGAGATGGGAGCGGGGCCAGTACAGGAGGCGCATGCCAGACTTATTGTGCATGTTTTTAGTGGTAGGGGAAACCGGAGTACCCGGAGGAAACCTACGCAAACACGGAGAGAACATGCAAACTCCACTCAGAAAGGCCCTGGTCCGGCCGGGATTCGAACCCAGGACCTTCTTGCTGAGAGGCGAGAGTGCTATCCACTCAGCCACCGTGCCGCCAATATAGGTTCAGTATATAAATGATTATGGATATAGGTTCAGTATATAAATGATTATGGATATAGGTTCAGTATATAAATGATTATGGATATAGGTTCATATATAAATGATTATGGATATAGGTTCATATATAAATGATTATGGATATAGGTTCATATATAAATGATTATGGATATAGGTTCAGCATCAGCGCTGATGATTGACAGCTCTTGGCATGACTCGATTGGTTAACCTCGACGGCATCGTGGATTCTGAGCTATAGCTAAGAGAAGGGAAGGCGGGACTTACCCGTAATATTAGAATTAATAAAATGACTTATTTTATATCAACATTTAAGGCCAGGAGGTCAATTTACTACAATTCTTAAAATGTGTAATTAATTTAGAGTTCCAGACTATCACTTTGAGGTCCTGAAGGACAAATCCTGCATCGTAAAGAGTTGTGTAAGTAACAATTGGTGTATTGGTGTCATTCTCAACAAAACAATGCGTCTGTGGCTGTATTCTTTTCAGGTCAAACAGTCACAGTGTTTATACACCAACGCATACCTGACAATGAATTAAATAAAAATGGGGATATAATAACTGCACATTGTGACTCCATGGCTGGGTAAATAAATAATCCTTCGAGGTAAAAGTGTCTAGTGCTAGTGAAATGTTAGCGATCCACTTTTCCTGCGTCTTTTCGTAAAGTCCTTAGTGCGAGGCTCTTTATTAATCTCTTCACGAGGAATCCTGAAGACTCCATTAAAGGTTTCGCAATTCGATCGGTTAGAAAACTTAAAACAACACATGCAAAAGGCATATTCAGACACGCTGCTCTAGTGAACAACCGCCTCGGCTGACCACCACTTTGTGATACGCATATGTAATGAGGCGGACGTGACGTCAATTCCAAGCAAGCAATAGGGATAGGGCCAGAATGTGCGTCTGGTGCGCGAGGCGTCAGCGTTCCAGCGTCGACGGTCTGGGTCTGAACGCGCCATAGGGCTGGAAAGCAGAATTGCGAGTTTTTGCGAGATTTCCACCCCCGGATACAAACAAACCACTCATGGCAGTCATATGGTGCTGAGATCGCCGACTTCTTCCTCCTTAATGGATTATTCAGTGTTTTGGACACATTTAGGCTATATCCACACGAAGACAAAACGCTTATAATTTCAGAAACTTTTTCTGAAAACACGGAGTTAGCTCAGTAAATGTGTGCGTCCATATGAATGTAGTCAATACGCCTGAAAACGCTGTGAAACTATGCCAGACCTGTTGGTGGCGCTGTGACGCAATGACGGGATCAAGCCCAAACTTCCGTGACGGGAACTGGGCATGCGCGGAATGTTGTAAACAGACAACATGGCGAGTGGGCGAGCTGGTACTACATTAGTATGGACGGACGATGAGGTTGAACTGTTGCTTCGGGTCACACTGGATTACAAAACCAACAAGCTACATTGTTGTTGTCATTATTTTCTGAGTGCGGCGCATGCGTGCTTTAACAAGAGGCGGGGCGATGACGCAAGCGTCTCAGATACATTGCGGAGAGGCAGTAACCACGGAGCGGCATATACGGAGTTTTGAAATCTTTCCACTCTGGGACCTACTTTCAAAAATGTTCGTTTACACCCCCCCAAAACGCCGGCCTCGTATGGACCATACACTGGATTGATAAAGTATTTTTGCGTTTAGGCCTGAGCTTGACTTCGTGTGGACAGGGCCTAAGTTTCTGTGACAAAAAAACTGAGTGAGGGGTCGGAATTAGCAGTGAACTCTGACCTGTCCTGAAGTTTCTATATGACTCTGACCTGTCCTGAAGTTTCTATATGACTCTGACCATGTCCTGAAGTTTCTATGACTCTGTCCATGTCCTGAAGTTTCTATATGACTCTGTCCATGTCCTGAAGTTTCTATATGACTCTGTCCATGTCCTGAAGTTTCTATATGACTCTGACCATGTCCTGAAGTTTCTATATGACTCTGACCATGTCCTGAAGTTTCTATATGACTCTGTCCATGTCCTGAAGTTTCTATATGACTCTGACCATGTTCTGAAGTTTCTATATGACTCTGTCCATGTCCTGAAGTTTCTATATGACTCTGTCCATGTCCTGAAGTTTCTATATGACTCTGTCCATGTCCTGAAGTTTCTATATGACTCTGTCCATGTCCTGAAGTTTCTATATGACTCTGACCATGTCCTGAAGTTTCTATATGACTCTGTCCATGTCCTGAAGTTTCTATATGACTCTGTCCATGTCCTGAAGTTTCTATATGACTCTGTCCATGTCCTGAAGTTTCTATATGACTCTGTCCATGTCCTGAAGTTTCTATATGACTCTGTCCATGTCCTGAAGTTTCTATATGACTCTGTCCATGTCCTGAAGTTTCTATATGACTCTGTCCATGTCCTGAAGTTTCTATATGACTCTGTCCATGTCCTGAAGTTTCTATATGACTCTGTCCATGTCCTGAAGTTTCTATATGACTCTGTCCATGTCCTGAAGTTTCTATATGACTCTGTCCATGTCCTGAAGTTTCTATATGACTCTGTCCATGTCCTGAAGTTTCTATATGACTCTGTCCATGTCCTGAAGTTTCTATATGACTCTGTCCATGTCCTGAAGTTTCTATATGACTCTGACCATGTCCTGAAGTTTCTATATGACTCTGTCCATGTCCTGAAGTTTCTATATGACTCTGTCCATGTCCTGAAGTTTCTATATGACTCTGTCCATGTCCTGAAGTTTCTATATGACTCTGACCATGTCCTGAAGTTTCTATATGACTCTGTCCATGTCCTGAAGTTTCTATATGACTCTGTCCATGTCCTGAAGTTTCTATATGACTCTGACCATGTCCTGAAGTTTCTATATGACTCTGTCCATGTCCTGAAGTTTCTATATGACTCTGTCCATGTCCTGAAGTTTCTATATGACTCTGTCCATGTCCTGAAGTTTCTATATGACTCTGACCATGTCCTGAAGTTTCTATATGACTCTGACCATGTCCTGAAGTTTCTATATGACTCTGTCCATGTCCTGAAGTTTCTATATGACTCTGACCATGTCCTGAAGTTTCTATATGACTCTGTCCATGTCCTGAAGTTTCTATATGACTCTGTCCATGTCCTGAAGTTTCTATATGACTCTGTCCATGTCCTGAAGTTTCTATATGACTCTGTCCATGTCCTGAAGTTTCTATATGACTCTGTCCATGTCCTGAAGTTTCAATATGACTCTGACCATGTCCTGAAGTTTCTATATGACTCTGTCCATGTCCTGAAGTTTCTATATGACTCTGTCCATGTCCTGAAGTTTCTATATGACTCTGTCCATGTCCTGAAGTTTCTATATGACTCTGTCCATGTCCTGAAGTTTCTATATGACTCTGTCCATGTCCTGAAGTTTCTATATGACTCTGTCCATGTCCTGAAGTTTCTATATGACTCTGACCATGTCCTGAAGTTTCTATATGACTCTGTCCATGTCCTGAAGTTTCTATATGACTCTGACCATGTCCTGAAGTTTCTATATGACTCTGTCCATGTCCTGAAGTTTCTATATGACTCTGTCCATGTCCTGAAGTTTCTATATGACTCTGTCCATGTCCTGAAGTTTCTATATGACTCTGACCATGTCCTGAAGTTTCTATATGACTCTGTCCATGTCCTGAAGTTTCTATATGACTCTGTCCATGTCCTGAAGTTTCTATATGACTCTGTCCATGTCCTGAAGTTTCTATATGACTCTGTCCATGTCCTGAAGTTTCTATATGACTCTGACCATGTCCTGAAGTTTCTATATGACTCTGTCCATGTCCTGAAGTTTCTATATGACTCTGTCCATGTCCTGAAGTTTCTATATGACTCTGTCCATGTCCTGAAGTTTCTATGACAGGGAGATGAGAAACCTGCTGGGCCGTGCTCAAACTCATTGTTTTTTAATCCACTGTTATGCATCAGAAAGAAAATATAAAACCACTATTCCCATGCAAATAAATTGATGTCCCTTACAGTTGTCTTTGCTGCTTTGGTTACAAGTCAATGTATATGATCAGTTTGTTCATCAGCTCCATCTCCACTTCACACTCACTGCAGCTTCAGATTGGGCCTTTTTCCTTTTTGCTGTGCTGTCAAAGATAACATGATGTAGTTGGGTTATTATTCATTTAATACTAATGATTGACCGTTTTCTGTTTTATTTGAACATTTGTTAAATGTTATTTAATATGCTGTGTTTCTCCTTCATCTCAAATAAATAAATACATTTCTCCTGTGTGAGATCAATAAAGTTAATCTTATCTTAAAATACAAGCCACAATTAAAGGCTCGGCCACGCAGTATTAACAGGTTAGCATTAGCTTCAAGTTAGCTTGAATACATATTCAAGTTAACCATCTGTAAAATCAGACAATGTTTTATCACAACTGCAGAGTTATTCCCACAGCTTCAGTTTGTCTTTGGGAAACCTAAAAAATGAGCATGCTTTGTGTAAACTTTAATGATAACAGCTGAAAACAAAGCAGAGCCTTTTGCACCATTCATTTAAACAGCTGACGGTTTGTTTATGAGCAAAGAACCGCAAGTGCTTCTGGGACGAGACTTTCCAGCCCAGCAGAGGGCGCTCTATCCCAGCCTCCTCTGACGTCACCAATCTAACATGGCGGCCCCCGCACATGCAGACGGCGTGAGCTACTCTCTCACACACAAACTGCAGAAACACGATAAACACGATAAACACAGCCAAAAGAGCATGGCCCAGGGTGAGTCCAGTTTGTCTGAATATCATCCGTACATGGCCTCCATAACATTCTGAGATGTGGACATCTGTTCACTTCTGGTCATACTATTATTGCTAATATACATTGACGGCTGAACTGTGGAACATACTATGGTTGTTTTGTCTTAAACTGAAGTTCCTTATGACTGGGTCAACTTTTTATTCTGTACGTATTTCTGTACATAAAAAAACTGGTTCAAAACACGTACTATTTTTAAAAGACATTCAGACCACAACTTACTGTGTAAAAGAGTTTGTATTTGGGTGAAGTATGTATGCATCATTTATCTTTAGATCAGATTTGAGAGAAGTAAAATTGAGAAAGTCCCTCCCACTTAGCCCAAAGAGTCAAATGGTGACACACTGAGGATTGTGTGAGTGATGTATTAAAATGTGCTGTGATCCTGAGCTTTACAAACAGAGGTTTGTTGATTATCTGTGCCACTCAAACCAACACAGCAGGATGTGACTGAAGTCCTGTTGTTTACTGTGGCTCTCGCTGCTTCTTAACTTTCACTTTGTGCACTTTGTGTTGCATCTTTTGTATAAAAAGCGCTTAAAAGATACATTTTGATGTATTAGTTGATTGACCAAATATAACTATGCTCCTGACTTGAAGTTTAAAAGTGACCAGCATTTGATTGTATTCTGATCCATAAATATAAGTCATTATGTGTTTATGATTAAGTTCTGTCATCATAAAGACATGTGTGCAGACGGTGCAGACGGTGCAGACGGTGCAGACGGTGCAGACGGTGCAGACGGTGGTGACCTGCTCACGGTGCCAGACGGCTGGACCGAGCCGACCTTCACCAAAGAAGACAACCCTCGAGGACTTGTGCAGGAGAGCAGCTTTGCCACACTCTTCCCCAAGTACAGAGAGGCCTACCTGAAGCAGTGCTGGCCCCTGGTGGAGAAAGCCCTGCATGACAGCGTGAGTACAGAGAGGCCTACCTGAAGCAGTGCTGGCCCCTGGTGGAGAAAGCCCTGCATGACAGCGTGAGTACAGAGAGGCCTACCTGAAGCAGTGCTGGCCCCTGGTGGAGAAAGCCCTGCATGACAGCGTGAGTACAGAGAGGCCTACCTGAAGCAGTGCTGGCCCCTGGTGGAGAAAGCCCTGCATGACAGCGTGAGTACAGAGAGGCCTACCTGAAGCAGTGCTGGCCCCTGGTGGAGAAAGCCCTGCATGACAGCGTGAGTACAGAGAGGCCTACCTGAAGCAGTGCTGGCCCCTGGTGGAGAAAGCCCTGCATGACAGCGTGAGTACAGAGAGGCCTACCTGAAGCAGTGCTGGCCCCTGGTGGAGAAAGCCCTGCATGACAGCGTGAGTACAGAGAGGCCTACCTGAAGCAGTGCTGGCCCCTGGTGGAGAAAGCCCTGCATGCATGACAGCGTGAGTACAGAGAGGCCTACCTGAAGCAGTGCTGGCCCCTGGTGGAGAAAGCCCTGCATGACAGCGTGAGTACAGAGAGGCCTACCTGAAGCAGTGCTGGCCCCTAGTGGAGAAAGCCCTGCATGACAGCGTGAGTACAGAGAGGCCTACCTGAAGCAGTGCTGGCCCCTGGTGGAGAAAGCCCTGCATGACAGCGTGAGTACAGAGAGGCCTACCTGAAGCAGTGCTGGCCCCTGGTGGAGAAAGCCCTGCATGACAGCGTGAGTACAGAGAGGCCTACCTGAAGCAGTGCTGGCCCCTGGTGGAGAAAGCCCTGCATGACAGCGTGAGTACAGAGAGGCCTACCTGAAGCAGTGCTGGCCCCTGGTGGAGAAAGCCCTGCATGACAGCGTGAGTACAGAGAGGCCTACCTGAAGCAGTGCTGGCCCCTGGTGGAGAAAGCCCTGCATGACAGCGTGAGTACAGAGAGGCCTACCTGAAGCAGTGCTGGCCCCTGGTGGAGAAAGCCCTGCATGACAGCGTGAGTACAGAGAGGCCTACCTGAAGCAGTGCTGGCCCCTGGTGGAGAAAGCCCTGCATGACAGCGTGAGTACAGAGAGGCCTACCTGAAGCAGTGCTGGCCCCTGGTGGAGAAAGCCCTGCATGACAGCGTGAGTACAGAGAGGCCTACCTGAAGCAGTGCTGGCCCCTGGTGGAGAAAGCCCTGCATGACAGCGTGAGTACAGAGAGGCCTACCTGAAGCAGTGCTGGCCCCTGGTGGAGAAAGCCCTGCATGACAGCGTGAGTACAGAGAGGCCTACCTGAAGCAGTGCTGGCTGCCCTGGTGGAGAAAGCCCTGCATGACAGCGTGAGTACAGAGAGGCCTACCTGAAGCAGTGCTGGCCCCTGGTGGAGAAAGCCCTGCATGACAGCGTGAGTACAGAGAGGCCTACCTGAAGCAGTGCTGGCCCCTGGTGGAGAAAGCCCTGCATGACAGCGTGAGTACAGAGAGGCCTACCTGAAGCAGTGCTGGCCCCTGGTGGAGAAAGCCCTGCATGACAGCGTGAGTACAGAGAGGCCTACCTGAAGCAGTGCTGGCCCCTGGTGGAGAAAGCCCTGCATGACAGCGTGAGTACAGAGAGGCCTACCTGAAGCAGTGCTGGCCCCTGGTGGAGAAAGCCCTGCATGACAGCGTGAGTACAGAGAGGCCTACCTGAAGCAGTGCTGGCCCCTGGTGGAGAAAGCCCTGCATGACAGCGTGAGTACAGAGAGGCCTACCTGAAGCAGTGCTGGCCCCTGGTGGAGAAAGCCCTGCATGACAGCGTGAGTACAGAGAGGCCTACCTGAAGCAGTGCTGGCCCCTGGTGGAGAAAGCCCTGCATGACAGCGTGAGTACAGAGAGGCCTACCTGAAGCAGTGCTGGCCCCTGGTGGAGAAAGCCCTGCATGACAGCGTGAGTACAGAGAGGCCTACCTGAAGCAGTGCTGGCCCCTGGTGGAGAAAGCCCTGCATGACAGCGTGAGTACAGAGAGGCCTACCTGAAGCAGTGCTGGCCCCTGGTGGAGAAAGCCCTGCATGACAGCGTGAGTACAGAGAGGCCTACCTGAAGCAGTGCTGGCCCCTGGTGGAGAAAGCCCTGCATGACAGCGTGAGTACAGAGAGGCCTACCTGAAGCAGTGCTGGCCCCTGGTGGAGAAAGCCCTGCATGACAGCGTGAGTACAGAGAGGCCTACCTGAAGCAGTGCTGGCCCCTGGTGGAGAAAGCCCTGCATGACAGCGTGAGTACAGAGAGGCCTACCTGAAGCAGTGCTGGCCCCTGGTGGAGAAAGCCCTGCATGACAGCGTGAGTACAGAGAGGCCTACCTGAAGCAGTGCTGGCCCCTGGTGGAGAAAGCCCTGCATGACAGCGTGAGTACAGAGAGGCCTACCTGAAGCAGTGCTGGCCCCTGGTGGAGAAAGCCCTGCATGACAGCGTGAGTACAGAGAGGCCTACCTGAAGCAGTGCTGGCCCCTGGTGGAGAAAGCCCTGCATGACAGCGTGAGTACAGAGAGGCCTACCTGAAGCAGTGCTGGCCCCTGGTGGAGAAAGCCCTGCATGACAGCGTGAGTACAGAGAGGCCTACCTGAAGCAGTGCTGGCCCCTGGTGGAGAAAGCCCTGCATGACAGCGTGAGTACAGAGAGAGGCCTACCTGAAGCAGTGCTGGCCCCTGGTGGAGAAAGCCCTGCATGACAGCGTGAGTACAGAGAGGCCTACCTGAAGCAGTGCTGGCCCCTGGTGGAGAAAGCCCTGCATGACAGCGTGAGTACAGAGAGGCCTACCTGAAGCAGTGCTGGCCCCTGGTGGAGAAAGCCCTGCATGACAGCGTGAGTACAGAGAGGCCTACCTTATCGCCGATAAGGAAGTACAGGTGCTTTCTGGCAGCAATGATATAAAACACCTATGAGCAGCTACACCTGTAATATGCCTTCTGGCTTAATACTTGTCCCAGCTCTGTGCCTGGTGCTGTGATGCTTCCATAGGAAAGAGGACCATTTGTGTGTGTGAGAAAGAGAATAATAATCTGTGTCCTCTCTCAGCACATCAGACCGTCTCTCGACCTGATCGAAGGCAGCATGTCTGTGTGCACCACAAAGAAGACCTTTGACCCCTACGCCATTGTCAAAGCTCGAGACCTCATCAAGCTGTTGGCCCGCAGCGTGCCATTTGAGCAGGTACCAGACCGAGTCCACACTCTGACACAGACTGGAGCCCAATGGGGAAGTGCTCATGGATGAAGCTTCCTTCTTAACTCATCTCACTGACTTAACTCTATGGGTCACACCCGAACCCATTTAGAGTTTTTGAAATGTGTGGTTTAGTGATGTCCCGATCACTATGTTTTGGCTCTAATCCCAATCACTGTTTTGGCTCTAATCCCAGTCACTGTTTTGGCTCTAATCCCAGTCACTGTTTTGGCTCTAATCCCAGTCACTGTTTTGGCTCTAATCCCAGTCACTGTTTTGGCTCTAATCCCAGTCACTGTTTTGGCTCTAATCCCAGTCACTGTTTTGGCTCTAATCCCAGTCACTGTTTTGGCTCTAATCCCAGTCACTGTTTTGGCTCTAATCCCAGTCACTGTTTTGGCTCTAATCCCAGTCACTGTTTTGGCTCTAATCCCAGTCACTGTTTTGGCTCTAATCCCAGTCACTGTTTTGGCTCTAATCCCAGTCACTGTTTTGGCTCTAATCCCAGTCACTGTTTTGGCTCTAATCCCAGTCACTGTTTTGGCTCTAATCCCAGTCACTGTTTTGGCTCTAATCCCAGTCACTGTTTTGGCTCTAATCCCAGTCACTGTTTTGGCTCTAATCCCAGTCACTGTTTTGGCTCTAATCCCAGTCACTGTTTTGGCTCTAATCCCAGTCACTGTTTTGGCTCTAATCCCAGTCACTGTTTTGGCTCTAATCCCAGTCACTGTTTTGGCTCTAATCCCAGTCACTGTTTTGGCTCTAATCCCAGTCACTGTTTTGGCTCTAATCCCAGTCACTGTTTTGGCTCTAATCCCAGTCACTGTTTTGGCTCTAATCCCAGTCACTGTTTTGGCTCTAATCCCAGTCACTGTTTTGGCTCTAATCCCAGTCACTGTTTTGGCTCTAATCCCAGTCACTGTTTTGGCTCTAATCCCAGTCACTGTTTTGGCTCTAATCCCAGTCACTGTTTTGGCTCTAATCCCAGTCACTGTTTTGGCTCTAATCCCAGTCACTGTTTTGGCTCTAATCCCAGTCACTGTTTTGGCTCTAATCCCAGTCACTGTTTTGGCTCTAATCCCAGTCACTGTTTTGGCTCTAATCCCAGTCACTGTTTTGGCTCTAATCCCAGTCACTGTTTTGGCTCTAATCCCAGTCACTGTTTTGGCTCTAATCCCAGTCACTGTTTTGGCTCTAATCCCAGTCACTGTTTTGGCTCTAATCCCAGTCACTGTTTTGGCTCTAATCCCAGTCACTGTTTTGGCTCTAATCCCAGTCACTGTTTTGGCTCTAATCCCAGTCACTGTTTTGGCTCTAATCCCAGTCACTGTTTTGGCTCTAATCCCAGTCACTGTTTTGGCTCTAATCCCAGTCACTGTTTTGGCTCTAATCCCAGTCACTGTTTTGGCTCTAATCCCAGTCACTGTTTTGGCTCTAATCCCAGTCACTGTTTTGGCTCTAATCCCAGTCACTGTTTTGGCTCTAATCCCAGTCACTGTTTTGGCTCTAATCCCAGTCACTGTTTTGGCTCTAATCCCAGTCACTGTTTTGGCTCTAATCCCAGTCACTGTTTTGGCTCTAATCCCAGTCACTGTTTTGGCTCTAATCCCAGTCACTGTTTTGGCTCTAATCCCAGTCACTGTTTTGGCTCTAATCCCAGTCACTGTTTTGGCGCTAATCCCAGTCACTGTTTTGGCTCTAATCCCAGTCACTGTTTTGGCTCTAATCCCAGTCACTGTTTTGGCTCTAATCCCAGTCACTGTTTTGGCTCTAATCCCAGTCACTGTTTTGGCTCTAATCCCAGTCCGATTGTGGACCTTCAAATCCTGTTTGATTTTGAGTCCTGATCCTTTTGTTGTTGTATCGTAAATGATAAAACTTAAACTCAATTTTTTGAGTTCACTTTGTGGATTTATATCATTTGTAAATGATGCATCTATATTTTTTCAAAGTGTTGTATAGTGTTGTATAGTGTTGCATAGTGTTGGATAGTGTTGGATAGTGTTGTATAGTGTTGGATAGTGTTGTATAGTGTTGGATAGTGTTGTATAGTGTTGGATTGTGTTGGATTGTGTTGGATTGTGTTGGATAGTGTTGGATAGTGTTGCATAGTGTTGGATAGTGTTGTATAGTGTTGGATAGTGTTGGATTGTGTTGGATTGTGTTGCATAGTGTTGGATAGTGTTGGATAGTGTTGTATAGTGTTGGATAGTGTTGTATAGTGTTGGATAGTGTTGCATAGTGTTGCATAGTGTTGGATAGTGTTGCATAGTGTTGCATAGTGTTGCATAGTGTTGCATAGTGTTGCATAGTGTTGCATAGTGTTGCATAGTGTTGCATAGTGTTGCATAGTGTTGGATAGTGTTGGATAGTGTTGCATAGTGTTGCATAGTGTTGCATAGTGTTGCATAGTGTTGCATAGTGTTGTATAGTGTTGTATAGTGTTGTATAGTGTTGCATAGTGTTGCATAGTGTTGCATAGTGTTGTATAGTGTTGTATAGTGTTGTATAGTGTTGGATTGTGTTGGATTGTGTTGGATTGTGTTGGATTGTGTTGGATTGTGTTGGATTGTGTTGGATTGTGTTGGATTGTGTTGGATTGTGTTGCATAGTGTTGGATTGTGTTGCATAGTGTTGGATTGTGTTGGATTGTGTTGGATTGTGTTGGATTGTGTTGGATTGTGTTGGATTGTGTTGTATAGTGTTGTATAGTGTTGGATTGTGTTGGATTGTGTTGGATTGTGTTGGATTGTGTTGGATTGTGTTGGATTGTGTTGCATAGTGTTGGATTGTGTTGCATAGTGTTGGATTGTGTTGGATTGTGTTGCATAGTGTTGGATTGTGTTGCATAGTGTTGGATAGTGTTGGATAGTGTTGGATTGTGTTGGATTGTGTTGGATAGTGTTGGATAGTGTTGGATAGTGTTGGATAGTGTTGGATTGTGTTGGATTGTGTTGGATAGTGTTGGATAGTGTTGGATAGTGTTGGATAGTGTTGGATTGTGTTGGATAGTGTTGGATAGTGTTGGATAGTGTTGGATAGTGTTGTATAGTGTTGTATAGTGTTGTATAGTGTTGTATAGTGTTGTATAGTGTTGTATAGTGTTGTATAGTGTTGTATAGTGTTGGATAGTGTTGGATAGTGTTGGATAGTGTTGCATAGTGTTGTATAGTGTTGTATAGTGTTGTATAGTGTTGTATAGTGTTGTATAGTGTTGGATTGTGTTGGATTGTGTTGCATAGTGTTGGATTGTGTTGCATAGTGTTGTATAGTGTTGTATAGTGTTGTATAGTGTTGTATAGTGTTGTATAGTGTTGTATAGTGTTGTATAGTGTTGTATAGTGTTGTATAGTGTTGTATAGTGTTGTATAGTGTTGTATAGTGTTGGATAGTGTTGGATAGTGTTGGATAGTGTTGGATTGTGTTGGATTGTGTTGGATAGTGTTGGATAGTGTTGGATAGTGTTGGATAGTGTTGGATAGTGTTGGATTGTGTTGGATTGTGTTGGATTGTGTTGGATAGTGTTGGATAGTGTTGGATAGTGTTGGATAGTGTTGCATAGTGTTGTATAGTGTTGTATAGTGTTGTATAGTGTTGTATAGTGTTGTATAGTGTTGTATAGTGTTGTATAGTGTTGTATAGTGTTGGATTGTGTTGGATTGTGTTGGATTGTGTTGCATAGTGTTGTATAGTGTTGTATAGTGTTGGATTGTGTTGGATTGTGTTGCATAGTGTTGGATTGTGTTGGATTGTGTTGCATAGTGTTGGATTGTGTTGCATAGTGTTGGATAGTGTTGGATAGTGTTGGATAGTGTTGGATAGTGTTGGATAGTGTTGGATTGTGTTGGATAGTGTTGTATAGTGTTGTATAGTGTTGTATAGTGTTGTATAGTGTTGTATAGTGTTGTATAGTGTTGTATAGTGTTGTATAGTGTTGGATAGTGTTGGATAGTGTTGCATAGTGTTGTATAGTGTTGTATAGTGTTGTATATAGTGTTGGATTGTGTTGGATTGTGTTGGATTGTGTTGCATAGTGTTGGATTGTGTTGGATTGTGTTGCATAGTGTTGGATTGTGTTGCATAGTGTTGGATAGTGTTGGATAGTGTTGGATTGTGTTGGATTGTGTTGGATTGTGTTGGATTGTGTTGGATTGTGTTGGATTGTGTTGGATTGTGTTGGATTGTGTTGGATTGTGTTGGATAGTGTTGGATAGTGTTGGATAGTGTTGGATTGTGTTGGATTGTGTTGGATTGTGTTGGATTGTGTTGGATAGTGTTGGATAGTGTTGTATAGTGTTGTATAGTGTTGTATAGTGTTGTATAGTGTTGTATAGTGTTGTATAGTGTTGGATAGTGTTGCATAGTGTTGTATAGTGTTGTATAGTGTTGTATAGTGTTGTATTGTGTTGGATTGTGTTGGATTGTGTTGTATAGTGTTGTATAGTGTTGGATTGTGTTGGATTGTGTTGGATTGTGTTGGATAGTGTTGGATAGTGTTGGATAGTGTTGGATAGTGTTGGATTGTGTTGGATTGTGTTGGATAGTGTTGGATAGTGTTGGATAGTGTTGGATAGTGTTGGATAGTGTTGGATAGTGTTGGATTGTGTTGGATAGTGTTGGATAGTGTTGGATAGTGTTGTATAGTGTTGGATTGTGTTGGATTGTGTTGCATAGTGTTGTATAGTGTTGTATAGTGTTGTATAGTGTTGTATAGTGTTGGATTGTGTTGGATTGTGTTGCATAGTGTTGGATTGTGTTGGATTGTGTTGGATAGTGTTGGATAGTGTTGTATAGTGTTGTATAGTGTTGTATAGTGTTGTATAGTGTTGTATAGTGTTGTATAGTGTTGGATAGTGTTGCATAGTGTTGCATAGTGTTGTATAGTGTTGTATAGTGTTGTATAGTGTTGTATAGTGTTGGATTGTGTTGGATTGTGTTGGATTGTGTTGGATTGTGTTGCATAGTGTTGGATTGTGTTGCATAGTGTT